AAAGCGACTTTCTACTTGTCTACAGAAATAACCCTGCCTTTTATATCACATAACTTCTTCAGGTTAGAAGAAAAGTTAAAATCTCTTGTGCTTGTCTTGGTCATTTACCTGTACAAATAAATATTTTCTGTGTTCTCATGGTGTTTTCAAAGTACAAACATGTTATGCCTTTGAGGATCCTTATTTTCCATTTTGTATGAGAACATGAGAAAAGCATCCTCTTCTGTTCAGACTGTTCAGACTGTTCAGTTCTGACAGAGTTAGCTGGCTGTGCCCCAGAGAGGCACTCCGTGCCATGCAGTTAGCCCAGCAGAATGTCTTTGTGGAGTGCCTGTGTGATTTCATCCTCTTTTCACAGTAACCAGAAAACTAAACTAACTCTGATTTTGTGATCTTCCATCTCTCCAGTTTCGTGTGAGTGCTGTTCCTTCTGATAAGTCTGGCCATCAGTAACGCTTCTTCCTCGCTAACAGCACCCTGAAAATTATAATGATGTGTAAAAGACATTAACTGCAAATGTGAAAAGAAACATCGAAATGTTATTAATACCCCCTAAATTTGAATATTCTAATCAGGCTCTATTAATGGCTGTATCTGCCATGAGAAAGAATTCACAATATGCAGGGCTTACACAGCTGAACTGTGGCACCTCACTATGTCCTATGATGCATTTAAGACATGCAGCACTGTGGTACTCAAAGAACTCCACGGTTCACTAGGAGAACAACTTAATTCAAACAAAAGGCTGTGAATGAAAACTTTGGTGTCGCTATAGTTTTATGACAAAAATCAGTAAAAACCTTTTGCCTTTTCTACAAGCTCTTAACTTGCAGCAGGTGAAGACAGCAGATGGAACTGGCAGGATATAAGTCACAGAACATGCATTCTTTTTGTAACAAACATATTTAGGCTGAAAATATGTGACTTACATCGTAATTTTAAGGATTTGCCTATTATTCAGAGGCAAGATTGGGGGTTGGAACTAGATGATCTTTAATGTCCCTTCCAACCCAAGCCATTCTATGATTCTAGAAGAGTCTTCCTTGTAAGCTTATACAAGAAATCAACACCTGGCTAATATTAACTTCTGTATTTATTAAAAAATAGTAATTTGTGTCCTGAAAGCAGCACACTTATAGAAACAGCCACTGCCTGGAAAACCTATGCTTACCTCATAATAATGTATTTTCAGTTTCCTTAAAGGTGCTTATGTAATGTTAATCACAGATCAAAGATAATATGAGGGATAATACTGGTTATGTTATTTAAGGCTATACTGGCTCAGATTGAGAACTAAAATGACCTTAAAGAACTAGTTTCAACTAATCAGGTGGAAAGTACACAAAGCTGACAGGAACCATAAAACTCATTATCAATAATCTTTACTCATAGTTTGACCTTATAGGATTGAAATATGCACTATTTATATTCAGTGAAAGTAAGAATATGCACTTTTTTCCCCTAAAAGACATGACATATTGTTTATGAATTAAATTTTAGATTGACTAGTGTAAAAATCCATCCTACCTGAGTACAGGAAAATAATTCATTATTAGTAGTAATTTTGAAAAATGAATGAGAGGGAAATCCTGATTCCAGTGAAGCTGGTTGTGTTCTATCAGTAACTTAAATGCACTGTAGATTTAATGTTAACAGGCCAAACATGAGTAAACTGTCAAAAAATGCAGAAGAAAACCTGACATGTCTTAATTACTGGAAAAGAAAAAAGGCTGAGTATGTGATTTGACTTTGAATTACTATGTGCTTATTATATCTCGAATTATTGCATGTATACATTATAAATACATACTGAGAATGCTTGTGAGATTTTTATTTCAAAAACGGTGAAAAAAACAGCTGAAGAAGCTTTTAAGACATGGTACTTGATCCACTGTCCTCTCTCATGTGTCCGTATGACCTCGTGACTACCCGTGAGACAATGTGGGACTGCAGTTCTGCAAAAGAACAAGGTGCATTTGTTAACTTCACAGCTCCAGGTGAAATAGCCACCAGTCCACATCTATAAACTTCTTGCTTCTATCACTAGTTCAAGCAGATGAAAATCTTCCATACAAACCACCTATTCTTTCCAAATGGGCTCCTCCAAAGCTGTGTCATTGCCTATAAATAACTATTATCATGTGAAATCTAAACCTTTCTGCCAGTAAGCAAGCACTTAGAAGAATAATGTATTATGCAAAATTAAATCATATGAATCATTTTGCAAAATATGATTTTTAAGTGGGTACAGGCACTTCATATATTATGCAAAGAACAGAAATGTTCCTTTACCTATCATGCTATATTTAGGATTTTTTTTTTTTTACGATGGAGAAATAAGAGATGAAAGGATGGGGATAAAAAAGCAGCTGCAGAGAGACACAAAGAGAGGCTTAGTCCTAAAAAGAAAAAAAAAACCAATGCAAAGTTTATTTCTAAGTGTTCCAGCTAATGTGATGTACATAATGTGATGTGACGGTCCAGATCACATAATGAATTATTCCTTCTCTCCCTTAGAGTCCAATTCCTGGAGTTGTGTGGTTTTCCAGGAATCTCATTTTTTTACCTTAACAAAAATTACACAGTTTCAGTTCTGTCTTGCAAAAAATCCCACCCCTCCACACTCTAAAAATGAACATCAAGGGTTCAAATGCAAATACAAACTCCCCAGTTTATTGCTGTTGATACACAGTGCATTTTAAAACAAAACTGTCTTTCCGTGTTTGATTTTCAAGCAGCTGCCCAAGCTGGGCATTCAAGGCCAGGCCATGCTGACTGGTGCCCAGCCCCCTGCAGGAGAAGCTGGATCTGGCCCCAGTGAGACCACAGCTCCCTCAGTGTGGCTTCCCCAGCCCTCAGGACATAGCAGGGGAGGGAACTGAGGGCTGACGGACACAGTCACAGAATATCCTGAGTTGGAAGGGATATCATTATATCCTGAGTTGGAAGGGATCATTAGAGTCCAACTCCTGGCCCTGCTCAGGACAGCCCCAAGAATCCCACCATGTACCTAAAAGCGTTGTTCAAACCCTTCTTGAACTCAGACAGGCTTGGTGCTCTGACCAAGGTGCTCCCTGGGGAGCCTGTTCCAGTGTCCGACCACCCTCTGGTGAGAAACCTTTTCCCAAATATCCAAAGTAAACCTCCCATGACACAGCCTCACGCCATTCCCTTGAGTATGGCATGTTACAACGTGGGGGTACCAAGACAAACACCCATTACCTTCTTTCCAGCCCGGGGCTTCCACGAGCCCTTTGCATCTCACATGAGCAGTGCCACACCTCGAGTCCTGTGTCCATTTCTGGGCCCCTCAGTTCAGGAAGGATATTGAGGTGCTGGAGCAGGTCCAGAGAAGAACAACGAGGCTGGTGAGGGGTCTGGAGCACAAGCCCTATGAGGACAGGCTCGGGGAGCTGGGGTTGTTTAGCCTGGAGGAGGCTCAGGGCAGACCTTACCACTGTCTAAAACTGCCCAAAAGGAGGGTGTAGCCAGCTGGGAGTCGGTGTACAAGTGACAGGACGAGAGGACATGGCCTCAGGCTGTGCCGGGGAGATTTAGGTTGGACATTAGGAAGAATTTCTTCACAGAAAGGGTGATTAGACATTGGAATGGGCTGTCCAGGCAGATGGTGGAGTCACTGTCCCTGGAGGTGTCTAAGGAAAGACTGGACATGGCACTTAATGCCATGGTCTAGTTGACACGGTGGTATTCGGTCATTGGTTGGACTCGATGATCTCAGAGGTCTTTTCCAACCTAAATGATTCCGTGATTCTGTGATTCCGTGGGGGTAGGAGAGGGAGGGAACGAGGGCGTCTGCGAGGGCGCGAGGGGAGGGCGGAGGGCGCATGCGTGCGGCGCCCGCCGAGCCGCCCCTGCCTGGTGCGCGCGGACGGGGAGCGCGAGTGTGGGCAGCGGTGACGTGATGACGCCGCTGTGCGCGTGTCGCCAGCCGCGCGACCCACGCACGGTCCGCCGGGCTCGTGCCTGCTCCTCCAGCCGGGCCGGCGCGCGGGCGGGGCGGAGGCTCCATCCCTCCTCCATCTCCTCCTCCTCCTCCTCCTCCTCTTCTTTCTCTCCCTCCTCCTCCTCCTCCTCCTCTCCGTTCTCCTCCTCCTCCTTCTCCTCCTCCTCCTCCTCCTGCCCGGGTCCCCTCTCCGACGGCCCGGCCCCTTCCCCTCAGCGGAGCGGCGCCTCCTCCTCCTCCTCCTCCTCCTCCCGCTCCCGGCCGTGCCGGACAATAGGGGCGAGCGCGGCGCGTGTCCCTTGGCGCGGCCCCCGGCCCTCCATGCGCGGCGCGGGGCAGCGGCGCTGACAGCGGCTCCCGCCGGCGGCAGCGCTCCCGAGGGCGGGCGGGAGGGAGGGAGCGGCGGCGGCCGCGGGCTGCGGGCCGGGACTCGCCGCCCCGGGCGCTGACAGAGCCGTCCCGCTCCGCCGCCTCCCCCCAGCTCCCGCCGGCGGCTCCCGCCGGGCTTTGGCGGCAGCGAAGCACAAAGGCGCGGGGCC